TTAAAATTAAAAAACTAGACCTAGTACCTCGGTGGTTTGACGTGTCTGTTGGATTTATACATTGTCGAGACGACGATTATGGCATAACCGGAAATAAAGCGTAATTCGAGTATATTGAGTAATATGGTATGTGTAACGTATCAGACCATTTCGTTCGGATTTGGCTCTGCGTATTGGAGGGACAAAGGTGATCTCGAATTATTTGGGATTTGTTGGACAGCCGTGTTCATAGGTCTGTACGTGTATGTCGGGCCAGGAAAAACCCTTGATTTCTTGGGCAGCCCGTGTCTACTGGTGTATCCGTGTCGGTCGGGTAACCCGGCTATACAAGGGACCGGGTAAAGTTGGACAAACCCTTGATTTCTTGGGCAGCCCGTGTCTACTGGTGTATCCGTGTCAGTCGGGGAACCCGGCCATACGGGGGAACTGGTTTTTGCGTCGGTACATCGGGACCGGGCTTATTCCCTGGTCATGTTGTAACCCGTCTCGTTTGTGTTTGTTTTTGGTTGTTCCTGCTGGGTTATGTATGATCGTCTCGGGCTACCCGGTGATTGCGAATAATTCGTGTTTATAGGTCTTTACATGTAAGTCGGTGAAGATGGGCCAACCAGGAGCGTGGTTGTTTCGGGTTACCCGGTATTTGCGTAGTTCTCGAATTCGTGGGCTACCCGGTAATCGTGTATTGTTTTGTGTGTATTTTATTTCTTGGGCAGCCCGTTTCTATTGGTGTTTAGCAACCCGCCTTACAGAGGAACAGGTAAGGAGTATTTGTGACGACGATTATGGCATAACCGGGAATAATTGATAAACATTTTACACGTAATTAAACCATACGATAGGCGTTGATTAATTGTATATTTAGGTCCCTCGAGGATATTAACCCAGAAATAAATGTCAATATTAAAACGCGCTTATATGCATTAATAGTGAAAAGCCACAGTGTCCCTTTCGGAGTAAACTTCGTGCCACCGTGGCATTTTCGATATACTGAACCCAGTAACAGCCATAAATCGACTATTCATTCAGGACTCGCGTTACCAAGAGTATGATCTAGTATAAGGTTTTCAGTTTTTAACTTGTTTAAAAAGTGTGTGTAGACAACTAATAATGTTCACAAACAGAAATTTCGATTATTTATTCAGGGCTCGTGTTACCAAGAGTATGATCTAGTCTTCCGTCGATTTGCAGAGGTTCGCGCTCGTGAGTACGTGATTGGCGATCATGCGGTATCATAGTTGGGTCTCGTCTACAACATATGTAATGTGGCCATGATGTAAGTTCCGTTGCTCGATTCATATACGTTCGTCAGAATAAATCGAGTAGGAGGGAATGTCAATCGGAATGTTAGTTCGTATTAAATTCTTCACGTATTGTTCGTGGCTGGTCTATAGTAGTCACTACTGGACTGCACTGAATACGCCCAACTGAAAATCCAGTGTGAACAGGTCCTCGGTGTCCGGGATCAAATATCTGTAAGCAATAGCCACTACAACAAGCCAACAACATGAAAGCCCCTTAAGGTTTTCAGTTTTGAACTTGTTTAAAAAGTTTGTGTAGACAACTATAAATGTTCACAAACAGAAATTTCGATTATTTATTCAGGACTCGCGTTAGCAAGAGTATGATCTAGTCTTCCGTCGATTTGCCGAGGCTCGCGCTTATGAGTACATGATTGGCGATCATGCGGTACCATAGCTGGGTCATGCCTCTCTTCAGTGGCAACACTTTCTGGTCACTCGTACTCATCTATAACACATGTGATGTGGCCATGATGTAAGTTCGATTTCCTGATTTAGATACGTTCGTCAGAATACATCGGGTAGGAGGGGATGTCATTGTGGATGTTAGTTCGTATCAAATTCTTCACACACTGCCCGTAAACAGAAATTTCGATCATTTATTCAGGGCTCGTGTTACCAAGAGTATGATCTAGTCTTCCGTCGATTTGCAGAGGTTCGCGCTCGTGAGTACGTGATTGGCGATCATGCGGTACCATAGTTGGGTCATGCCTCTCTTCAGTGGCAACACTTTCTGGTCACTCGTAATCATCTATAACATATGTAATGTGGCCATGATGTAAGTTCGGTTTCCTGATTTAGATACGTTCGTCAGAATACAACGGGTAGGAGGGGATGTCAATCCGAATGTTAGTTCGTATTAAATTCTTCACACACTGTTCGTGGCGGATCTATAGTAGTCAGTACTGGACTGCACTGAAGTCACTACTGGACTGCACTGAATACACCCAACTGAAAATCCAGTGTGAACAGGTCCTCGGTGTCCGGGATCAAATCTCTGTAAGCAATAGCCACTACAACAAGCCAACAACATGAAAGCCCCTTAAGGTTTTCAGTTTTGAACTTGTTTAAAAAGTTTGTGTAGACAACTAATAATGTTCACAAACAGAAATTTCGATTATTTATTCAGGACTCGCGTTACCAAGAGTATGATCTAGTCTTCCGTCGATTTGCCGAGGCTCGCGCTTATGAGTACATGATTGGCGATCATGCGGTACCATAGCTGGGTCATGTCTCTCTTCAGTGGCAACACTTTCTGGTCACTCGTACTCATCTATAACACATGTGATGTGGCCATGATGTAAGTTCGGTTTCCTGATTTAGATACGTTCGTCAGAATACATCGGGTAGGAGGGGATGTCAATGTGGATGTTAGTTCGTATCAAATTCTTCACACACTGCCCGTGGCGGATCTATAGTAGTCACAAGGGCGTGGTGAACCAGTGAGTCTGGGGGTGTTAGGGAACCGCTCCAAAAAAATGCGTGTAAACTAAGTGTAAGAGTACCTACTGGAGTGCACTGGAAATACCCAACAGAAAATCCAGTGTGAACAGGTCTTCGGTGTCCGGGATATAATTTCTATAAGCAATAGTCACTACAACAAGCCAACAACATGAAAACCCCGTAAGGTTTTTCATTGTTTCTATTGTTTAAAAAGTTTGTGTAGACAACTGATAATGTTGACAAACAGAAATTTGATTATATCCTGGTCATGTCATAGCCCGTCTCGTCCGCATTCGTTCTGGGGTCGTTCGCGCTGGGTTATGTGTGATCGTTTCGCGACAAATATCTTCTTTTATACTTATAGTTGTTGATCTAGTCTTCTGTCGATTAACTGTTTGTATTGGCCTATTTCACCCGATATTTGACGGGTATAGTGCAACCTACATAGATGTAGATGGGCTATAATAAGTGTTATCGATACTGTAGGTATTCGAGCTCTCTGTACCTGTAAGAAGTCGTAGTGACAACACACGAAAGTATGATAATTGGTAATAACGAATTTGAAAAGGGACTAGACTATAATATATGCTGTTGATCTGTATGCGGTTATTCGGTTATACAAGCATTCGGTACCTGAAAGTAGTTACAGTGAAATACGTGTGAATGTTAGAATAGAACTGTCAAGTTGATAAATAAAACTCTGTAGGCCTTGGGTGAATTCGTAGTCAATGCTAGGTGGGTGTGGACAATTGGCGTTGCGTTATTACAATAATCAACGGCTAGAATATATGTCGATTTGTTATATCCTGGTCATGTCATAGCCTGTCTCGTCCGTATTCGTTTTTTGGTCGTTCGCGCTGGGTTATGTGTGATCGTTTTGGGCTACCCGGTGGTAGTGATTAATTCATGATTTGTTGGACAGCCCGTGTTTGTAGGTCTGTACGTGTATGTCTGTGTCGGGCCAATCCGGAGTCTGGTTGTTCCGGGTTAGTGTGTTTCTTGGTTTTGTTGACTATCCGGTAGTCGCGTGTAATCTCTGATTTCTCCGGTAGCCCGTGTCTATTGGTCTGTACGTGTATGTCTGTGAAGTCGGGCCAACCCGGAATCTGGTTGTTCCGGGTTAGTATGTTTCTTGGTTTTGTTGACTATCCGGTAATCGCGCGTAATCTCTGATTTCTCCGGTAGCCCGTGTCTATTGGTCTATAACGAGGTGAATGAGAATTTGCTAAAACTATTAAGAATATACTTGGATCATTAGGCAAACAATACTTTCTCCATATACTATGGTATATGGGGAGAAAGTAAAAATTTGAACGAAATGTGTCTTTTGGCCTCTGGAGACATCAAAATGAAAAAGGTAATCGGTCCCGGGCCTAGGTCTTACCGCGCCACTTACGGTAATAGCTACTTCTTTATAGGGAAATTCGCAAAAAAATTAAATTATAGTTTATATAACTAAACATTGTTACAATTGTATATGCTTAAGCCAGTAAGCGTAATAGTAAATGTACTAAACATAGCCATGATAACTGATAAACCTTTTTTTGTCTCCTTCACTAGAATGCTAGCCTGCCTACCCCTAGCTCAAAAATCTTTAAGACTATACTAGCGCTTGCTAGTAATAACTGGCGTTTATTCACCTACAAAGGTTAGAATATTCTAGGCATTTGGTGATTTTAGAATTTACTGTGGGTAGTATATATACTTGTGATCAGCTTAGGTAATAGATACTTCTTTTAGGGAAATTCGTAAGAAAATTAAATTATAGTTTATATAAGTAAACACTGTTACGATTGCATATGCTTAAGCCAGCAAGCGTGATAGTAAATGTACTAAACATAGCCATGATGACTGATAAACCTTTTGTTTTGCCTCCGTCACTAGAATGCTAGCCTGCCTACCCCTAGTTCAAAAATCTTTAGGACTATACTAGCGCTTGCTAGTAATAACTGGCATTTATTCACCTACAAAGGTTCTAGTCATTTGGTAATTTTAGAATTTACTATGGGTAGTATATATACTTGAGATCAGCTCAGTTTAAGCAAATTCTAGTTTTTATTCACGCCGCCCAATATATGCATATCTCCTTTAGAGTAATCGGTAGTAAAGTTTCCCTTTGTTACCCTTTTCCTTTTCTGTTGACTTGCATTTGTTACCTGGAGTAATCATGTTTTGTCTACTCTTGTTTGATTCTTGCTTAGGTGTGAGATATGTATTCAGTTCGGGTACATGCAATCATAACTCGTTTTGTGACACAGTTTCGTTTATTGTCATGAAATAATACATAGATATCGAATGGTAGTACGTCGTAACTATTAATATAAACATGGCAGCCTCCTGGAGTATGTTCGAGTAGCAAGGAGGGTGTTCGAGAACATAATGTAGGCAATATGAACTTGAAACACATATTAAATACAAAATCATTCATACAAACAAGATCCACACTACCCGGTGTGCACAACGACTCGTTGGAGCACTCTTAAAGGTGCGTTTAAAAAATGTCATTGATCGGTGTTTAGTTATTAATTAGTGTTAATTGGTTGTTTGGCAGAACATGTGGCCTGAAACTATTTGTACAATATTTGTGTGGTTAGATACAAGATGGGATTTAAATATTGTAAAGTTATTAAAATTTAAGTTGGTTAAACGGTGGATGGGTTTGAGGAGTCGTGCGTTGTCAGTGCTAGTCTTCTTTTGTGCCCCTTTCGACGTTTGCTGTCTCTGCTGTTTCTTCGGCTCCTTCTCTCGTTTTCTGTAACATAACATTCAAGCTGTTATACACACCTAGTTGTCGCGGTACTAGAGTAATATCAGTTTGTATGCGTGAAACGGCACTTATTGTGACATCCGTTTTCCAGTTATTTAGTGAGTATCGTGAAACATGACAACTTGGAACTGAGGTAAACACGAAACAGTTCGGGCTTTGTCACTGGCCCCGGCAGTACCGGGCACCATCTACAACCTTGTCCCATTGGTCATCTGAAGGTGACGGGAAAGTTAATATAAAACGTTTTAGAATAATTGGTATTAACTGTGTGGAGAGTAAATAGCTCGTGGTTTGTGTTTGGGATGCAACCTAATGAGATAACTCCTAAGGAAGGAGATCGGTAAGAGTTACAACCTCGCGGGTAAAGGGAAGAAGTCTTATGAGAGTACTAAATGCTATATCCTGGACACAGGTTGGTATTGTACCGGATGCATATGTCAGATATTTATTTTCTCTAGTCTTGTAGTTTAAGTGTTTCGCTTGTACCCTGAGAGTACGTTTTGGTAAATTTGCATTGCAACCCAGACAGTTGGGTTAACCCTAGATCTGGCGGTCATTTTAGTCCTCAGTGGCGGGTGTATTTTGGGGTCATGCCTCTCTTCAGTGGCAACACTTTCTGGTCACTCGTACTCATCTATAACATATAAATACTCCTAAACAAAAAACCGCTGTTTTCGTTGCCATGCGACTAATACTTTCCACCGCCAAAATAAATTTTGAACGCTCTAGTTTTTCTAACTATGTTTCTTCGCTACATAATTCTCGTTCAATGATGTTTTATACATACAAATTAATCCTCAGAATCTCTTCTTTCTAATGGTATAAGATTGATTTCGGTTTTAAACTGTTTCAGTATTATAGAAATAGAAAGTTCCAAACTATGTCTTTCTGGTCCCTAGCGGACCACCGCCACTGAGAACTCAACAATTTCTAGTCCCCTAGGGACCAACGCCAGGTCAAGGGTTAACCGATCTCTAACACAAATAATTCTATTACCATTGTTTTCGCGTCTGTTCCAGATATCACAACTAGTAGAGAGAGCGATATAAGAGGATGGGCTGATCTTCGAGAAGAGAAAGGCATGGGAGAGCGAGAGGCGGGTTCACACTGGGTTTTCTGTTGGGTATAACCAGTGCACTGCAGTATGTACTCTCGCCCACGCCATATTCAATAAACTTGAACGCCTGACGAAGTTAAACGCCATCATGAAGTCAACAAAGCTGATGTGTCGAAACCTCAGAGACACCATCGTAATAGCGTGTGTCTGTGCTTTTCTTGATCTTGGTGTCTGCTGCTTTCCTTGTTGGTGTCTGTCGTTTTTCGGCTTTTTCTCCCGTCTTCTGTAACATAACATTCAAGCTGTTGTTATCTTGAGTGGACACTGGAGCAATTTGCGCGGAACTAGTGTATATAGCAAACAGTCAATGCTATGTCCCAGTTACCTTAGTACCGGGTAACATTCATAACCCCGTCCCACCGGGTACCTGGTATTGACCCGGGTAACTTGTGAAACCCGGGCTAGTCCAGGCAACTCGTTAAACCCCGTTTTTTTAGCAAATGGCATAAAATGTGACTACGTGGAACTGAAGTACTGTATGCATGAAACAGTCCGGGTTGTGCCACGGGCCCGTCAGTGCCGGGTAACAGTCATGACCCTGTCCCCTCGGGCCTTGGGTATTGGCCAGGGCAACTCGTGAAACCCGGGTTATTTAGTAAGTGCTATTAAATATGACTACACGGAACTGAAGTGTGTGTGAAAGGTCTGGACTATTTCAACGGCCCTTCAGTGCTGGTTACCATTTGTAGTCCTGTGTCACAGGGTCGACTAAGCGAATTTCCATTCGTTTGAATTGATTTTCGATTAGGTCTATTTAAATTATATTAGGTTTAGTGAGTATCTAGGTTTGTTGCTACAATGAATCTAGTAAGGTGTACCCGGTGCAATAGCGATGGCCTGGTGAAGTTGGGCAAGTAAGAAATGTGATGGATGGAAGTTACTATCGGACCTGTTCTAAATGTACGGCCCACTTGGAGTGGAGTCTCTTCTGGGATAACCGAGTCCGGTGTATAATCCACCGACAACTTCTTCATGGACGGCGGGTCCCAACAACCTTCGTCAACAACTGGAACATACACAGGACCACCAATACAATCGATACCCACACCACAATGGATGGCGAGATCGTCGTGGCAGTCCCCATCCGGAGAAGTATTTTGGTACCTGAAAGAGTACAGTAGGCATATACGAAAGTTATAATAATCTGGTTATGTGTGAGGTGTAATAGATGTTAATAACAAAATGTAAAATGAATAGGCTGTAATATGTGTTATTAATAAGTACTAGAGCATTCTGTACCTGAAAGTGGCATCGCCAATCACGTACTCATAAGCGTGAGCCTGTGCAAATCGACGGAAGACTAGATCATACGTTGGCCTGGCTGTTGTAGTGTACCCGTCTTTGACGGGCTTTGGTGTTATATCCGTGTCAACACCCGAAAAATTTACAACGAGGCGACGAGGGCCAGCGACGATCTCACCAACAGTACTTAGGACCCTAGAATGGGAGCATAAGCTATAATATACGCTATTGATAGGTACTCGAGCATTCGGTACCTGAAAGTAGTAAAATTGTAATACGTGTGAATGTTAGAATGATTGGTATTGACAAAGCGAAGAAGTAACATGTCATCGTGTCTGTTGTTGATGAGTGGGCGTACTCAAGTTTACGGTACCTGAAAGAGTACAGTAGCCATATACAATATTTTAATTAATCTGTTTATGTGGAAGGTGCAACAGTTGTTAATAACAAATGTAAAAGGAATAGGCTATAACATGTGTTATTAATAAGTAGTACTCTCGAGTACTCAGTACCTGAAAGAGACAGGGCTTGTACGGTTGCCCGGTCTGATTTGGTGTTATACCCGGGCCGTCAACCGTAGCCCGATTTGCCCGGGCTTCGCGAGGTATTCGGGTTAATTTGAATGGTAGGCATAGTTGGTATTGATAATTTGAATAAGATATGGATCATGTTTTCTAACGGGGCGACGAGGGCCAGCGACGATCTCACCAACAGTACTTAGGACCCTGGAATGGGAGCATAGGCTACAATAAATGCTATTGATAGGTACTCGAGCATTCGGTACCTGAAAGTAGTAACATTGTAATACGTGTGAATGTTAGAATGATTGGTATTGACAAAGTGAAGAAGTAACGTGTCATCATGTCCGTTGTTGATGAGTGGGCGTACTCAAGTTTTCAGTACCTGAAAGAGTACAGTAGCCATGTACAAAATCTTAATTAATCTGTTTATGTGGAAGGTGCAACAGTTGTTAATAACAAAATGTAAAAGGAATAGGCTATAACATGTGTTATTAATAAGTACTCGAGTACTCGGTACCTGAAAGTTACAGGGCTTGTACGGTTGCCCGGTGTGTTTTGGTGTTATACCCGGGCCGTCAACCGGAGCCCGATGTGCCCGGGCTTCGCGAGGTATTCGGGTTAATTTGAATGGCAGGAATAGTTGGTATTGATAAATTGAATAAGATATGGGTCATGTTTTTTGTTATTAATAAGTGTGCTGTTGAGCTTTCTGTACCCGAAATAGTTTTCGTAGGCTATTGACAAAGTGGACGATATTTAGGTTATGGTATCTGATGTTGTTTAGCGGGCCATAGGCTATTGACAAAGTGGACGAAATTTTGGTTATGCTATTTGTTGTTTTTCAGCACCTGAGAGGACGTAAGGAAATTATAATAATTTAGTAGGCTAAAATTGGCGAAGTGAAAATAAGAAACATGTTATAATGCGTGATGATAACATGTACTTTCTAGTTGACCGAATTGGTAAAACTGAAATTATACTACTTATGTTATATTGAACCTCTTCTGTCTTATCTTCCTAAATTGTACTACTTTAAACACTTTTTACCATTGGCACTTTTTGGGGAAAACGTCTATTTCACCATGGAAATCGTGTTTGAAAAACTAATACTAATGATGGGAATCTGTGTAAAACCTGTTTTGGTACAATTTCTTACATGGACTAACTTATACTAGTGTCTATAGCAACTATCAAATTTAAAATATTGTTTAATAATCGATATATTTACCAGCTAGCCTATATAAGTTATAAAATACTATAATAACCAACTTAACCAACCAAATTTGCTAATAGTGGAATCGTCGAATGAATGTTTGCTAATAATCGGTATTATCATCGCTAAGTTAAGAAACTGTAGGTAGGGACCCAAGACCCAACTTGTTTTTACTACGTGTCGATAACTTAATAGGACTAACCTACCCTAGCATAACCAGGTTAGGTTAGGTTAGGTTAGGTTAGGTTAGGTTAGGTTAGGTTAGGTTAGGTTAGGTTAGGTTAGGTTAGGTTAGGTTAGGTTAGGTTAGGTTAGGTTAGGTTAGGTTAGGTTAGGTTAGGTTAGGTTAGGTTAGGTTAGGTTAGGTTAGGTTAGGTTAGGTTAGGTTAGGTTAGGTTAGGTTAGGTTAGGTTAGGTTAGGTTAGGTTAGGTTAGGTTAGGTTAGGTTAGGTTAGGTTAGGTTAGGTTAGGTTAGGTTAGGTTAGGTTAGGTTAGGTTAGGTTAGGTTAGGTTAGGTTAGGTTAGGTTAGGTTAGGTTAGGTTAGGTTAGGTTAGGTTAGGTTAGGTTAGGTTAGGTTAGGTTAGGTTAGGTTAGGTTAGGTTAGGTTAGGTTAGGTTAGGTTAGGTTAGGTTAGGTTAGGTTAGGTTAGGTTAGGTTAGGTTAGGTTAGGTTAGGTTAGGTTAGGTTAGGTTAGGTTAGGTTAGGTTAGGTTAGGTTAGGTTAGGTTAGGTTAGGTTAGGTTAGGTTAGGTTAGGTTAGGTTAGGTTAGGTTAGGTTAGGTTAGGTTAGGTTAGGTTAGGTTAGGTTAGGTTAGGTTAGGTTAGGTTAGGTTAGGTTAGGTTAGGTTAGGTTAGGTTAGGTTAGGTTAGGTTAGGTTAGGTTAGGTTAGGTTAGGTTAGGTTAGGTTAGGTTAGGTTAGGTTAGGTTAGGTTAGGTTAGGTTAGGTTAGGTTAGGTTAGGTTAGGTTAGGTTAGGTTAGGTTAGGTTAGGTTAGGTTAGGTTAGGTTAGGTTAGGTTAGGTTAGGTTAGGTTAGGTTAGGTTAGGTTAGGTTAGGTTAGGTTAGGTTAGGTTAGGTTAGGTTAGGTTAGGTTAGGTTAGGTTAGGTTAGGTTAGGTTAGGTTAGGTTAGGTTAGGTTAGGTTAGGTTAGGTTAGGTTAGGTTAGGTTAGGTTAGGTTAGGTTAGGTTAGGTTAGGTTAGGTTAGGTTAGGTTAGGTTAGGTTAGGTTAGGTTAGGTTAGGTTAGGTTAGGTTAGGTTAGGTTAGGTTAGGTTAGGTTAGGTTAGGTTAGGTTAGGTTAGGTTAGGTTAGGTTAGGTTAGGTTAGGTTAGGTTAGGTTAGGTTAGGTTAGGTTAGGTTAGGTTAGGTTAGGTTAGGTTAGGTTAGGTTAGGTTAGGTTAGGTTAGGTTAGGTTAGGTTAGGTTAGGTTAGGTTAGGTTAGGTTAGGTTAGGTTAGGTTAGGTTAGGTTAGGTTAGGTTAGGTTAGGTTAGGTTAGGTTAGGTTAGGTTAGGTTAGGTTAGGTTAGGTTAGGTTAGGTTAGGTTAGGTTAGGTTAGGTTAGGTTAGGTTAGGTTAGGTTAGGTTAGGTTAGGTTAGGTTAGGTTAGGTTAGGTTAGGTTAGGTTAGGTTAGGTTAGGTTAGGTTAGGTTAGGTTAGGTTAGGTTAGGTTAGGTTAGGTTAGGTTAGGTTAGGTTAGGTTAGGTTAGGTTAGGTTAGGTTAGGTTAGGTTAGGTTAGGTTAGGTTAGGTTAGGTTAGGTTAGGTTAGGTTAGGTTAGGTTAGGTTAGGTTAGGTTAGGTTAGGTTAGGTTAGGTTAGGTTAGGTTAGGTTAGGTTAGGTTAGGTTAGGTTAGGTTAGGTTAGGTTAGGTTAGGTTAGGTTAGGTTAGGTTAGGTTAGGTTAGGTTAGGTTAGGTTAGGTTAGGTTAGGTTAGGTTAGGTTAGGTTAGGTTAGGTTAGGTTAGGTTAGGTTAGGTTAGGTTAGGTTAGGTTAGGTTAGGTTAGGTTAGGTTAGGTTAGGTTAGGTTAGGTTAGGTTAGGTTAGGTTAGGTTAGGTTAGGTTAGGTTAGGTTAGGTTAGGTTAGGTTAGGTTAGGTTAGGTTAGGTTAGGTTAGGTTAGGTTAGGTTAGGTTAGGTTAGGTTAGGTTAGGTTAGGTTAGGTTAGGTTAGGTTAGGTTAGGTTAGGTTAGGTTAGGTTAGGTTAGGTTAGGTTAGGTTAGGTTAGGTTAGGTTAGGTTAGGTTAGGTTAGGTTAGGTTAGGTTAGGTTAGGTTAGGTTAGGTTAGGTTAGGTTAGGTTAGGTTAGGTTAGGTTAGGTTAGGTTAGGTTAGGTTAGGTTAGGTTAGGTTAGGTTAGGTTAGGTTAGGTTAGGTTAGGTTAGGTTAGGTTAGGTTAGGTTAGGTTAGGTTAGGTTAGGTTAGGTTAGGTTAGGTTAGGTTAGGTTAGGTTAGGTTAGGTTAGGTTAGGTTAGGTTAGGTTAGGTTAGGTTAGGTTAGGTTAGGTTAGGTTAGGTTAGGTTAGGTTAGGTTAGGTTAGGTTAGGTTAGGTTAGGTTAGGTTAGGTTAGGTTAGGTTAGGTTAGGTTAGGTTAGGTTAGGTTAGGTTAGGTTAGGTTAGGTTAGGTTAGGTTAGGTTAGGTTAGGTTAGGTTAGGTTAGGTTAGGTTAGGTTAGGTTAGGTTAGGTTAGGTTAGGTTAGGTTAGGTTAGGTTAGGTTAGGTTAGGTTAGGTTAGGTTAGGTTAGGTTAGGTTAGGTTAGGTTAGGTTAGGTTAGGTTAGGTTAGGTTAGGTTAGGTTAGGTTAGGTTAGGTTAGGTTAGGTTAGGTTAGGTTAGGTTAGGTTAGGTTAGGTTAGGTTAGGTTAGGTAGTAGGTTAGGTTAGGTTAGGTTAGGTTAGGTTAGGTTAGGTTAGGTTAGGTTAGGTTAGGTTAGGTTAGGTTAGGTTAGGTTAGGTTAGGTTAGGTTAGGTTAGGTTAGGTTAGGTTAGGTTAGGTTAGGTTAGGTTAGGTTATAGGTTAGGTTAGGTTAGGTTAGGTTAGGTTAGGTTAGGTTAGGTTAGGTTAGGTTAGGTTAGGTTAGGTTAGGTTAGGTTAGGTTAGGTTAGGTTAGGTTAGGTTAGGTTAGGTTAGGTTAGGTTAGGTTAGGTTAGGTTAGGTTAGGTTAGGTTAGGTTAGGTTAGGTTAGGTTAGGTTAGGTTAGGTTAGGTTAGGTTAGGTTAGGTTAGGTTAGGTTAGGTTAGGTTAGGTTAGGTTAGGTTAGGTTAGGTTAGGTTAGGTTAGGTTAGGTTAGGTTAGGTTAGGTTAGGTTAGGTTAGGTTAGGTTAGGTTAGGTAGGTTAGGTTAGGTTAGGTTAGGTTAGGTTAGGTTAGGTTAGGTTAGGTTAGGTTAGGTTAGGTTAGGTTAGGTTAGGTTAGGTTAGGTTAGGTTAGGTTAGGTTAGGTTAGGTTAGGTTAGGTTAGGTTAGGTTAGGTT